GGCTGACTGGCATCCTGGACTGCTCATTATAGAGAACCTCCACTACATCAAAACACAATTTTTTTTGCCAACTTTGTGAAAAATGTGGATCAAACATATGCCTGCTAAGCCTTCTGAGGCTTCTTTCAATGCAGAGCCCCACTGGGGAAGTCCAGTCTGCTGCTTCAGTGGTGCTCAGGGTGACAGAGGCAGCGCAGCAGCTCCTCTGCCAGCTGTGGTGGATGTGAACAGGCTGCCTCTGTCCCACTGATTCCTGTTTTTCCCAGCAGTTCCTTGGACGAATTCTTTTCTTTCTCTGACACTGACTGGGTAAACAAACATGCAGCTCTGGGATTATAGCTAAAAGAGGAGGAATCAAAAACCTGCCCTGTGCTATATATACTTTCCTCCTGAGGAGGCATAGCTTGTCCTCAGCTCTCACTGGGAATTCTGTTCTTGTAGTAGGAAATGGGCAGTTTTACCTGCATGAGCCTTTGGCAAGGTGGAGGAGGAACTGCAGACATATTTTGCTTCTTGCTTTTAAAACAGCTGGCCACATAATCTAGAAATTTCAGCTACAAGATGTATTTTTCTTTTAAATGGCCAAATTTAGCCAGTTGCAGGACTTGGCAGGCTGCAGGAGCTGGGAGGACAGAACTGTGCTCTGTGCAGTATCCTGTCTCTTGTGAAGGTACAGAGGCTCTGTGGGAAGGGGAGGTGGTCGGCTGGAGGTGTCTGACTTCAGACATCACAAACCCAAGCACACCTGGTTTTCCATCCCTTGCTGCTCCTGCCCCAGCTAAACCCCTCTTGTCACAGTGCCCTCTCTTTTCCCTTGCATTTCCCCCTCAGCATCCCAGCTGTCCTGCTGGGAGCATCAGCATGCCCATGTCTGCTTTGCAAAATAAGAGTGGGAAAGCATTAGGGGCTCCAGACCCTCTGTAAGGTCTGGGTCTGAGCATGAACAGGCTCCACCACTGTCTTTTCTGGAACTTCTCATCAGCAATGTATAAAAATATATATAAATAAATCCATAAAAGTTGAAGCTTTCTTCCTTATTTTGCCCCACTGCCTCTTCTCCCCAGATTTAAGATGAAGAATCAGCAAAGAGAACGATGGGAGCCTTAGGCAAAGTGCTGTGGAGATGAGATTGGAAAGGAAGAAAAAGAAAGCTGAAAACTTTCAGCACAGTCTGTCAGCCTTGGGCATGGAATAGGAACCTAACAGGACTGGAAAGACTTCACCAGTGACTAATGATTGTGTCCTTCTCTGCAAACCCTTTGTAATATCTGCTGCAAATTATGTTTTCATAGTTAAATAAGTACATGGGGCAACTGAATGTGCTTTCTGAATTGTCTTTGTAGATGCCCTGCCTGTATTTTTTTCCCTTGCCTGTGCTGGACAGGTTCAGCACAGCTGTTAAACTGTGGCCATGTGGGACCCACTGTAACCCAAACCTTAGATATATTTTTCTCTTTAAAGAAACCTTATAGGCAGGCCAGCCTCAGGGTGAGCTGTGAAAATATAAATGGCTAAAGTAAGAAGTATTTCCAACTAAGGCCATAGTAATAAAATAATTATAGCTGGTATTGGTTGAGTTAAACTGCTGACTAAAGCTGTGCTGCATCAAGGTGCTGTGACAGCAGAATATCAAACTCCTGCCTTTAAAATAAGCCCACTTTGTAGCTTCTGGACCATATTCACTGGTGTGTCACTTCTGCTTATACTGGTGTGAAATTAATTATAAGCAAGCATTTATTGCAGTATGGTAGAACAGGACAACTGTGTCTTCATTTATTACCATGTCACTGAGACAGCAAATAAAGCCCAATTCTTCCCTGATGGAGATGTGCAGAAAATGCCCTGGAAGTCTCTGAAGGAGTTCTTACAGGTCTGAATGCATTAAAGAAGTGAGTTAGAGGATGCTGTTTGCTTTTTTCCTTGGAGATCATGCTGTATAATTGCAATGTGGTCCTTCTGGAAAGCTCCTATGATCTGGTTACAGCACCACTGTGGTGTTCCCTGCTTAAAGAGAGTCTGACCCAATATGAGACTGAAAAACTGGGGTGAGAAGTGCATGGCTAAGCATAAGTAAAGAAATGGATCATTTTTCTTATCATATGATTTTATGTGTAAACTATTTGCCCAAAGCATAAGAAATATATTTTTTTTTAGTATCTAGTCTAGTGTGTGTCTAGTGTGAAAATGAGATTTTAAAGACTGCATGTTTACTTTAGGGGTATTGTGCAATATTAATTCATTGAACATTACTTGTGTATTGTTATAGGGTAAAAAAAGGCAAATAAAGCACCACAAACTCATTGAAACATGAATATTCAATAGCTTCTTTTCACCTGAATATACTTGAATATAAATACATAAATTCCCAAAAACAAGCTCTCCCCCAAATTACCCTTGAAACATTGTTACCTCTTTCAAATCTATTCATTAGGTAGCCCAAGAAATATATAAGCAAGCTGTTCTGTTTCATGGTGCTTACTTTTTGCTTCTTTGGCCTTACAAACAGTTTTACTGGAGCAGAAGAGGGAAACCAGGAGGGAAACCTGTATTTTATACTGTGATAATATGATCTGGTAGGTTCTCAAATGCAATACATATGCAAATCAGCAGCTCTTGAAATGATTTCAGCCACTTTTAGAATTACATCAGGGAGAACAACATAAAGAAACTTGCCCAGATTCACTTCACTTATTAGGAAATGCCTCAGAAACCTCCCTGGTGAAATGCAAATGAGATTCATAAGTCAATACAGGGATGCAACAGAACCAGCTCTGTGAAGATCAACTTCCCAGAGACATCCTGACAGCGTTAACGTCCCTCTTTTAACTTCTTGCATTATAAATTCACAAGTCTCAAATCTGTTGTATGTTATGAATTTGTAAATTGAAACCATGACCTTTTTAACTTAAAGCAGCAAAACCCACACAGGGAAGCAGATCTTTATAGGGAGAGCAACTGCGAAGTAGCACAGCCATGAAAATAAAAGTATGACATGGTTTGTCTTCTCCTTCCAGAGGAAACCCCACCATATTTTAAGCATAACTTTAGATTTTTTAGGTTTTTTATTGTGTTGATTTCCAACTTTCATGACAGATGACTGTCAAATGAGGTTATGGCCAATAACTGGCATTCTGCTGCAGGCTCAAATGAAATGTTAACAAGGCTCTGACGTGGCTCAGTCCCTTTATTTAGCAAAGAGAGAGCAGCCTTTCTCTGCCTACCAAGAGCTAACAGCCAGTTGCCAAGATCAGTCTGAGCTGGTTATTAGAGCAGCAGTTTTGCTTTTGTTCCCAGGAAAATCTGTCTCTGCATAACACACTGACAACAGCAGACAATCAGGAAAGCCGATGTAGTTAGATTTAAAATCAGTGCACATCATGTGTTTATAGAATCTCTGAGAGCTTTTTATCTAATTATTTACTCTATGTGCACAGCCAAAGGAAGAGTAAAAAGGGATATATAATACAATACCAGATTTTTTTTTCCTACTGCAATTAAGTTGCAGAAGTAATCGGGTAAAAGGGTTTTCTTTCTCTTTGCCTGGGTAGAAAAGTTGAGGTGGGATGAAAGGTGATGTAAGATTTCTTTATGAACCCTGTGTTCACCCTCTTTGTCTGCACTTAAGCACTGAATCTTGTGTAGTGGGTTGCAGTATTTTCAATATCTTTCATGTAACTAAGAAAGAGTAATGGTTATCTCATGTTTTCATCTGAAACCTTGTTGAAGAGAATTCAGGTTATGGGTATATTGTGGCTTGTAGATACTCGAATGTTTTCCAGAATGGCTGCTGCACTTTTTCTTTAAACATATTTTCCTTTCTGTATCTATCTGCTTGCTGCTTTCTCTTGACTTTAAACTGCAAATTTTTGGGGAGCAATTAATGCATTTCTTTGTGCAGATGCAACCAGTACACAGCAATCAGTCTGCTGGCTTTGGGGCTCTGAGAAACAGTCAGCTTTAGCTGATAATTACTAAAGCAAATAACACTAGGGGTGGAGAGATGAAGCTCCAACAAAATTGGGTTAAAGACGTGAGAAGGAAAGAAAAGAGAATTAAACTGAGAGATAAAACCCATAGGCTGGGTAGGTGACCTTCTACCACGTGCTGCAGCAGTACACAGCTGTGGAAATAATTGACATAGTTACAGGAGAGTCAGACTAATGTAATGATTAAACAAATCAGAACTCATGCTAGCCAGAGTCTGGATTGCTGTGTATTATCTCACAGCCTTTCTCTGCTGCTGGGAGGGATGGAGGATGGATGTGGAGAAAAGGACATGGCCAGACCTTTATTGGTTTAAATAACATAACATTTATTCCCTTGAGCTGTCTCAGCTCTGCTAATGCTGAGTTAATTTAATGTTGCTGTGGACACCCTGGTGTTCTGATCTTTGTTGTAGGTGACAAAAGTATTATCTTTAAACTATTTGGAAGAGTGAATGATTTCTGTGTGCTTTCTTCTAGGTAAAGTATTTCAACACAAGTTAGCATCAAATATGGGTAGTTACCCCTTAAATTCTCTTAGAACATAATCTGTGGCTTATTATTATTCCTCTAAAGACAGAAGAAAGGATGCTTCATTGCTATTACTCTGCTTACTATGTATAAAATACCCACATACACTGAATTACTCAAATGTAAGCCTCTGGTTCTGGAAACAAATATTTTCTGACTAAGGAAAAGACAAAATACAAGAGATTTTGATAGATAAATTAGTATCTTTGTGCAAGGGTGTTTGAATATACAAGATTTCCTTTTAAAATACCATCTTACTGTGAGATTTTTTTTGGTTGAATAGGTCTTTTTCATCCCCCAAAGGATTAGCTTAACTTGTACTTTAGGATAGACTTTTTCTTGGCAGGGATGCACTTTTTCCTGATTCCTAGTATCAATTATGTAGTTTTGAGATGTATTCTGGAATTAAAGGGCATTTAGCACCTCATATATTCTGTGATGTGTGTTGTTCAGTAGAGTGTAGCTTCTGGAACAATGTCACCTTGATTGCAAGAAATAGTTTGAAAATAAGATTTCTGAATGTGCAGAAATCCATAAGGAAGACTAAGAAATCCTTGTGAAATCTGAGCCAAAATGTGTATTTTAAACAGTGTACAATTACAAATACAATTACTCACATGGCACATTTAATTTGATTTTTAGATTTGGAGAGACCAGGTAAGTTTGGCTGATTTACTTTAAGGAAAACAAATAATGACTCCTAAGAGGAAGTGCAGAACAATGTTGGAGGACACTTCAGGTTGTCTACCAGCAGACAAGCTGGAAAGCTCTGTGCCCATTTAACAAAGTGAATGTACACACTGGAAATCCTTCTGGCAGAGATCCTGTCTGCTCCTGTAAAGCATTCTGTGTAGCAGTGGGTCTGTGCTACCCAAATGCCAGCAGGGCCAGTAGAAACAACAAGAAAACCTCTCTTATTTTGGGTGAGAATCCATCAAGGGAATCCAACAAGAATGAGAAGGAATGATGTGTGAACAGAGAGCTTTTGATGAGTCACTGTTCTGAGGAGTCTGCCAAGCCATTTCAAACTGTGGAAGAGAAGGAATAAAGAGCCCTTAGAGAGATGGAGCAGAGCCACAACAGGCGGGGTCTCCAAATAAACACCAAAAACTGCAAGGATTCCTCCAAGTCAGGCAGGGAAAGGGGATTTATTGGTTTAAATAATGTAACAACCTGAGAGCTGTTGATGTGCTGTGTGGGAGAGAGGTATTGGCTGTACCAGGAGAAGCAGTGAATCCCAGCTCCTTGGAGAGGCACAGGGATGGGGTCCTGCAGCGTTCTGGGCTTGTAGCATCCAGCACAGGAGCAGAAACTGGGCCTCTTCCTTGTGTGGGACAAGTATTTTGTAATTAATTCCAGCTATGCAAAGAGCCAAAATCCTTTGGGCCTGTGAGAGCCAGAGCTGTTTGTACCCTGGTTATCAAAGTTACCATCAGGTTCTTCTGATTAAAAAGTTAATCAGAGAAAGCAATGAGAAGCCAAGACAAGCCCTGAAACTCTCCTTGTTCCAGGCCAGGTGTTGTGCCTTGCAACACTCAGAAATTTCCCCAGGCTGCCCAAGGAGGGGGGAACCTTCCCATAGCCAAAAAGCCTGGGTTTGTGCATCAGAATGGCACAAGGACTAAAGATTTTCATTCTCCCACTTATCAATAGGCAGAATCTGAAGTAAAACAGGTCTTGCAAAGAGTTCCACTCTCTACTGACAATAGTGCTGCGTGGAATTGGCCTCTGACTGCAGATCTAGGGACTGAAATTCACATAGAGTGACTTAACAAATTTAAGAAAAAATTATGATTTCTTTTTTGAATTTCTATAGAAGAACTGGATTCTTCTTGATTAATTTAGATTTTTTCTGGCACTTTTTTTTTTTTGGTTTTTTTTTTTGGTTTTTTTTTTGTTTTTTTTGTTTTTTAAGGGGGGGGTGTGACTTTTTCTGGGCAGATTCAAACTCCAAATATTAAAAGTGCAAATTATTTTCCTTTCTGATTAAAATTTTAAGGAAATTAGATTTATGCACACATCGGTTCTTTTAAATATAAGCTCAATAATATTAAAGGTGCAGACTCCACATGAGGAAATCAATAATAACAATTTAACAACACTACATTTTTCTCTTCTCTGACATGCATGCTTTCTAATTACAAAAGTATGGTTTTTATGCTATAGAAGAAGAGTAATTGAAGGAACTACTAATGTATGCATGATGTTTGATAGGAGTTTTGTATCAAACTATATAGTTTGATAAGGAGTTTTGATTAAAATGAAGTGTGGCAAGGGAGGAAAATGGATTGCCAGATGATACTCAGTAAGCAAAGTTCTGCAGTTCTAAGAAGGAGGATGAACTAAGGGAATTTTTGAATAGAGAATATGTGGATGAAGGCTTTGATTTTTGCATAAGATGTGTGTGTTTTAGGGGTGTTAGTTGTCCCCAGAGCACTGGTCCAAACAAGGCTGTAGGACTGTAGCTCCTTGTGGATCTGATACAGACAGCAGAGCTGCAGATTTTGACTCTTCATAGGCTCAAGTGTCTCTTCTCCCAGTGATTCTGTGATTCTGAGTTGGTGAAATGGGTGTGAACATGTCTTTAAGAATTTCCTCTGAGCTCTCAGAATATTAGGAAGTCTCTGTTCTTGAGACCCTTATTTCAGATGATTAAAAATAAAAATAAAATAAAAATAAAAATAAAACAACTGTCAGTGCTTTCTGACACTGCCTTAGGGCAGTAGCTGTGTATGGGTTTGGAAAAGAACCCATAACAAATTATACACATTGGTAAGAATTACTCATTGAAATTCACTCCAACTCAGGGATCCAGGAGCATCAACTGCAAAATCAAGCAAACTGGCTACTGAGCAAAACAAAGCAAAACTTGAAAGAAAAGTATTTGCCTGTTGGAAGTTGGACCTTGTGCAAGCAGGTGGCTTGATGCAGAGTGAATAACTAATCAACAAAAGATTTAGTCTTTGAGGCTGTTTCCCATTAGAGCTTTCCTGTGTAAGCACTTATTGGCTGACCTCAAATAAAGTTATTTCATCCCTTTGAAATAACAGCTTACTTGCAGGGCATTTTATCCCCAGGTGACTGGTGTAATCACAAATTAATAAATCATGTATGTATCATGTAGATTTGCTTGTATTGCAGTATTAAGAGTCTTTAAAAGTATAATGCTTTTATTAGTGTGCAGGAAGGGCTTTGTGGGAGAGAAACTGAGGTGGTGAGTAACTAAAAAAGATGAGAAATGACAGAGTAAAATGTCTGCTGGACACATGGATAGAAAAATGATCATGCTCATAATATTATCATCTACCCTTAGCAGCAGTGAGAAAGTTACTTGTGCTTACAAATGTAAAGACTGAATATAGGAAAACAAAAATAAGTAATACAAGCTTGCATGTGATGTCACCTGGTAGTTTTGAGAGTGTCTTCTGCAACTTTTTCCAGGGAGTTGGATTACATTTATTTCAACTTTGGTGTCACTAAGAGCTAAACCTCAGTCTATGGGTTTCAAAGTCCCTCCAAGCAGAAATGTGTAATGTTTTGTCAGGCAACAATGCTGTCCCCTCCACCTCTGCTTGGAGCTGAAGGTAACAGATAGGAAATAAGAAATGGAGAGAAGGAAACTATAGAATTGCTTAATGTAAGAAAGGGCTTTTAACACAGTAAAAGTAAAAAACATATAAGGGTATGTTCCCTGGAAGCCAACACCCTTAGCTCTCTTGGGAGCTTGCACACCCACAAGCAATAAAAAGGAAACTATGCTTATGGACAAAAAAAAAATCTGATTTCAAAAGTCTGTTATTCCAGAGATGGACAAAATCGTTTGAGTGCTCATAAGCCAACATAATTTATATATGGATTATGAATTTGGGCACTAAGTTAAACAGCAAAATTATATAAACCTTATTCTAAACCGCTTCAGAAGTTCAGTGCAGACTTAAACAGTTCCATTACACTTGTCTTGGAGGGAAATAGAAGAATGAAACCCTAATCTAAGATCTGATTTTAGCCAAAATCATTTCATAACCACTGGGTTTAACATTTTTGAAGGCAGTTTGATTTTTTTTTCCAAGAACATGATCTCTTATTTTTTAAGCAGTATGACTTTTCCTCTTAAGAAAATAATAAAGCCTGCAGCAATCTAGTTTTAGAAGCTGCTATAAAGAATATAGTTGAAGAGTTTCTCTGAACTCTCTACATTATAGGTGACAAAGCTATGGGTTATATTTCTGATTACACCTTACCCTGTCTGTGGAATGGTTTAGTGCTCTTCCTGCTTGGACACTGTCTCCACGCATCCCCAAACATGATACTCAGCCTCAACATACACTTGAACCTCTATAATTATTTAATAGAAGCAATTACTCATCACTTTGAAATTTTTCTACCTGTAAGCCTTCTACCTCACTGAGCAGGATGTAATTATGTCAGTAAAACCAGCAGCACTATAAATCTTTTGCTTTAAAACAATTTGCTTCGAACAGATATTTTAGTGTTTTAACAGAAATGCAAAAAGAGCCAGGTCTGTTTGTAACTTTGTTACCCAGAGCCAGCCTGACACTGCTGAGCATTAGGTAATGTTAGCAAAAAGGAGGCAGTGCCTACACATCTTATGCTAGCTGCTGCACTTTAGAGAAAAACAAATATCAGTTTACAAAAGCAAATATCTGCAGAACAAAGAGCAAAAGCTGTAATTCCCACTTGGCAATGCTGGTAAATAACAGCAAAAGCGTTTCAGAGCTGTTGCAATGCCAGTGCTGGAGTGCAGCAGGGCAAAGAGGTCTGCAGGTGTGACACACCTGTCCGTGCACCCCTCTGGCCAGTGTGCTGCTGCATGGCACCACAGATTTCTGCAGGTGCTCACTGCCCAGCCCAGCCTTCAGTGCATTTTCAGTACAGAAACCTCTGTTTTTGATACCCACATACTCTTACTTTCCTTGGATAGCATTAAAGGATAGGAGAAAATCATCAGAAGTTGTCACATCTGTATGAAATAACTCTAAGCTTACTACAGGAATCTTGACTTCTTTCTTTCTTTTTTCTTTTTTTTTTTTTTTTTTAACCAGACTGTTACCATCATCTTTTCCTCATGACTCTTTTTGTGTATTTTTGCATTCTGTGAGCTTTGGTGTATATCTTGGATTGTTGATTGTTATAATGTAATACATAGAAAAATGTAAAATTGCAGAAAAAAAAAGGGAAGGACTTTGAAGTTTTTTTTCTTACCTTTTAATGTGTTCCCACTGCACATAAGATAAAAGCAGCCAAAAATATTTCTACACCCAGTTGCTTTGTAGAGTTTGCTTGATCCTCAAGAGAAAAAAAAAAAGCTTCTGTACTAGGTCCTTTACTCCTTTTTAGGGAATGAAATAAAATTTTTCTAGGATAATCAAAAAATAGACACTTTCTAATAGACTGAACATGATCTTGAGGAGTCCAAGCATTGCTTTTTTTTTGTTAATACAAGGCAGAATGCAAAGTTTAAGTGTACAAGTGAGCTGCCCTGAATCTAATTTTCAGGCTACCTGACCAGTAGTTCTTCCTTTGCACATTATGATGGTCTAACAAGACTTGGATCAGCACCTCCTACATTCCATTCTTTTGTGTCTTCTAATGTATGTGTGTGTGTATATATATATATTTATGCATGTTTGGTCTTTTTACTGAGATAAAGAGTTCAAAAATTACATTAATCCTGTACTTTTGCAGTGTGCTGGGGAGCAAAAGTAAAGGCATTTCTGCTGCTTCCTTCCATTCCCTGCATAAGAAAGATGGGTGATGTCAGAAGGTGTAGAAAGACCATGAGTAATTTGATTAAGGAACTGAATTTAAGTATGGTCTGTGAGTGTGCTGTTATGAGTATTTGGGATCTGGGTTTTTAATGCAGTAGAATGGCAGACTCTGTGGCATGTTTTATTTCTCTGCTCCCTCCAAACTGGTGATGGGAATCATTAGATTTCCTAGGATTTCTTATTAAGACTGCAAGTTTCACTGACTTTCATGAACTGATCGATTTACCTGAAACTAACATAACAAACCCTTCTTAATGTCCAAAGTAAACGTCCCCTCACACAGCTTCAGCCATTCCCTTGGGTTCTGTCCTTGTCACCACAGAGAAGAGATCAGTGACCGCTCCTCTGATTCCCTTCACGAGGAAGCTGCAGACTGTGGTGAGGTCTGTCTTCAATCTCCTCCTCTCCAGACTTAATAAGCCAAGTCACCTCACCCTTTCTCATATGGTCTCCTCTAGATCCTTCACTACCTTTGTAGCCTCCTTTGGATGCTCTGTAATAGCTTTATATCCTTTTATTGTGGCCCTAGGACTTGAGGTGAG